GCCCACTCGTGCCTGAAATAATGCCCGGAGGGGCACCTGGGGTCTTCCTCCACCAATAAAGCTGGAAAAAAAATCGATGAAAAAATCTCGGCGGGACACTCTAGGATGGCCCGGCTTGAGTGTACGGCCGCCCATATGGGCTTTCCGGCGGCGACCTTAAATAAACGCATTAAAAAAATTGTATCAGTTAATCAGGATTCATGATTTAATTATCAAAGTACATATTTTGTGAAACAATCATTTACAATGCGTGCAAAAATCAAGTATTTTTCCAAAGTGTCATGTAAGATTATTATATAAATCAGCTTTAATTATGTCGTCAGTTGTTGATTTTATTCAACATGACAAGACTTAGTTATCTCTCCGTTTTATGTATTAAACAATATTCATTTGTTTAAGTTATTCAATAAGAGGTTGTTCATTAAAGCTGATAATATGTGTTACAAACGAGGAATTACTTCAATTTCACACAATCTTTCCCAACAGACCTCGTACTTTTGCTTATTAGCATATATATACATAGTTACAGCGTACAAAGTATATTTTAATTTGTAAAAAGAAGTGTCTCTCACTTATTTGGAATAAAATTTAAAATTTTTAAAGTTTGAATATGTTAGATTTGTTAGATAATTAGGAAAAACTGAAGTTTTAAAAATACCACCTGCTCATGCGTTCACTTTGCAAACCTATGAAACCACATGAAAAGTTGGGCTCATGCGTTCATTTTGAAAATTCGCTTAAACGATATTATACTCCAAAAATACGGAATATAAATAGAACAGGCGTTTGGTGGATGAGGATATGTTAATAAAGAACCTTTAGAGCAATACAAATGTTTAGAAGTTTGTTTGGGTGTCAAGTTATTGGCTATCAAAGAGCGATTTTACCAATTTTGTGACTTTTCTTGTGCAGTTGTCGATAATGATCTAATAAGTTAACAAAGATTTGGCGAGTTTGAGATGCCTGTCGGATAAAGTAATCATACGAGATCAGAATAGGCTAAAAAGTTTTGTGAAATATGCATTTTCAAAGAAATTGAAGACACTTTTCTTATCACAGTATCGGTTTTCCACCTGTAAAATTGATCTCTTCATGCGTTCTCCGCCTGGGAAACATAGTGAACGATTGGACTCGGTGAAGTAGCTTGACCTGTGACAGCTGGGCAAGATTTTTCTATTGATCGCTCAGACGGCTATTTTAATCAGTGAAGCAAAATGTGCCGGTAATGTGCACAACTAGGGATGATTCTGATCACTCCTGTAAAGTTTGGCTGAAATCCCACCAGTAGTTTGACCTGTGAAGGCCCGACAAGAAATTTCTATTTCTAGCTCTGGCGGCCATTTTGTGCAGCAAAGCAGAATGTGCCGGTGATGTGCACAACTAGCAATGGTACTGATCACTCATGTAAAGTATGGTTGAAGTCCCATCAGAAGTTTGACCTGTGAAGGGCCAACAAGATTTTTCTATTTTAAGCTCAAGTGGCCATTTTGTGCATCGAAGCGGAACATGCCAGTGTTGTGCACAACTAGGGATGATTCTGATTTCTCAGGTAAAGTTTGGTTGAAATCCCACCAGTAGTTTGACCTGTGAAGGCTGGACAAGCTTAATAACGACGGACGGTCAACCGGACGGTCAACCGGACGGACAGACGGCGAAGGCAAAAGCAATATGTCCTAATGGCATCTATCCAACTCAAATATTAGTGGATACGTGCAAATAAGTGCTACATGAAGCAGTTGTTTTAAAGAAAACAGGCCAAACATCAGTAAGACTGATTTCCTGATTAATAAATACAGTCAATCTGGAGAAAAACACACATTTTTTACACTTGACCTAACGCTTGCAGGAGTTTATTTAGAACAATACATCAAAATCTAACAGATGGGCCAGTTACTTTGGGTTTCCATGGCAAATACAAACACTCACTTCCTGTCTTGTTTTATATATATCAGGTGTATTACTGTAATCATTTCTGGTAATTACCCAATTCTATTTTCTCACCTGTTTTATTTTTCTTGAATATTGTGCTCGGTTATTTCATTGTTTAAATGAGGTAACTTTTTTACAGTATTTTTTTTATGTATAATTAGGTGATAAAGTTCAGTTTATCTGTATCAGAGGTAGATTACACTTTGTACTAAGTTAATCTACAACAGTAAAAGTTTAGTGTTCTCATTGAAAAGCTTTTTATCAGTTTTAGTTCCACTCATTCAATTACAGACAATTATACTGGCAATAAAATGAAAGAAGAAAAAATCTACAATAGAACAGAACACTGTCTTCACCATTTCAACCACAATAAGGGACAAAATTTTCTAAGCTTCCCTCTTGGAAACTATATCACATGTCAACCACTGGTAACTCTTACGGTACATAAAATAATATTTCACCTTCTTTGGACTTGCTATAAATTATAAACATTTCAACAAATGGATTTTAAGGGCTTATCAATTGTGACTTTGTTGTTTATATACATGAATGGGTCATCATCATACTAGAACTTATAACTACTGGAACTTATATTGGCCTTAAAGTGCATACAAAATGTTGTGTACAGAGAATTAAAAGAACCTTTACAAATGCAATATAAAGTTGTCCCACAGCATTTATTGCTAAAGTACATTTTTTTTCCTGATATTTGAAACAAACAAAAAACACACTAAAAATATGCCATATAATTACATGTAGATTTATATTTGGTTTAAATGTTTCTCCAGGTAAGAACAAATTATAATCGCTAATGAACTATACTATATTGATTTACAAACAAAATATATATAGAAATTTATGTTAACAAAAGTCAACATCTATTTTCTAGAATACATAACTCCTACAAGATACAATTATAGTAACTGTTTAGTTACCTCCCTTGAGTACATTATAGTGTTTTGCAGTAACTGTTTTTAACCGGAATTCAGTAAAAATGGATTTTTTTTCCCAAGCTAATCTCCCATTACAGACAAACTTTTACAGTTATAAATTCATGGGGAACTACTGTTCACCATAGATTAGTCAACCTTTTGCTCATATTTTCGAAGCTGTAACTGTAAAAGTTTGTCACCTCGGATTAGCTGTGAAAATCAGAATATTCTTAATTCTGCAATAAGTCTGTTACATAACTACTAACTAAATATAACATAAAGATTTGCCTTATAATACAGAAATATATAGCTGTGACATAAATTACATTTTGCTGTTATCTAACACAGCTATGACCTTTACTAGATGAAAAGTTAAGCCAATGATTTATTATTATCTCTGTCTACTAACAGCTTCTGCTGATGTGACAATGCCACCAACCCCATCTCAACTCTTCTATATAACTATTCCACATTATACTAACCTCTCAGAAGGTTAACATTAATCATATCATACATAATTCATTATAAAAATTAGAAAACACTACTTCCTTTAAGGTTAATATTGATATAATAGGTACATAGACAATGATAGCAGCCATTTTGTATTGGAAGTGGTGAAAACTGATCCATCCTCTACAAGAACTCTGATTAAATGATGGTGTCTGTTTCTGTCAGTATTTCATTTATAACCCGACTTCCAGGTTATCCTGAATAATGTCTCAGTACTAACCTATCCTCACTAATAGCAAAATATTAGACCTGTAAAATCTGTCTCTGATGCTAATATCTGCCATCTAACTAATGTAAAGCTAATGTTTTAAACTAAAAAAACATTTTTCCTTAACAAGAGAAAGCCAGGCAAGTCTAGCTTAGCATTATATCAGACAAATCTCATCATTTGGGTAGACATGGCAACCTTCATCCCAACAGTAGTTTACTAGCATGACATTTCAAACATGTTGCCTCCAAACCACAAGTGTTTTATACTAAGAGACCTGTAAATCTATAATGCAATCTATATAAGCAATATAGCTTTATTTGCCAAATGCCTGACAAAATCTAAACTTCAATGAAATAGGTTCTTTAATTGCACAATTCATAGATTATTGAATCTTTTCGAGTTTTCTTGGCTTTTGATTATTGAACGTTTCACAGATTTTTCCTGGCTTTTGATTATTGAATATTTCAGAAAATTATTTTTTTGGCTTTAATTAACCCTTTCAGAGATTTTTTTTCTTCCAGGCTTTTGATTATTGAACCTTCCAGAAATTTCTCTTAGCTTTTGATTATTGAACCTTTCAGAGATTTTTTCCTCCAAGGCTTTTGATTATTGAACCTTTCAGAGATTTTTCTTAGCTTTTGATTATTGAACCTTTCAGAGATTTCTCTTAGCTTTTGATTATTGAACCTTCCAGAGATTTTTTCCTCCAAGGCTTTTGATTATTGAACCTTTCAGAGATTTTTTCCTCCAAGGCTTTTGATTATTGAACCTTTCAGAGATTTTTTCCTCCAAGGCTTTTGATTATTGAACCTTTCAGAGATTTCTCTTAGCTTTTGATTATTGAACCTTCCAGAGATTTTTTCCTCCAAGGCTTTTGATTATTGAACCTTCCAGAGATTTTTTCCTCCAAGGCTTTTGATTATTGAACCTTTCAGAGATTTTTTCCTCCAAGGCTTTTGATTATTGAACCTTTCAGAGATTTTTTCCTCCAAGGCTTTTGATTATTGAACCTTTCAGAGATTTCTCTTAGCTTTTGATTATTGAACCTTCCAGAGATTTTTCTTAGCTTTTGATTATTGAATCTTTTAGATATTTCTCTTAGCTTTTGATTATAAAATTTTTAAGAGAATTTTATAGGGTATTTTTTTTTATGTGTTTCGTGTTATCACAATCTTTACATTCTCATTATCTTCTCTTATTCTAGAAACGTGCCAACCTCCCATTTCCTGTATATCTCTTAAACTTACTCTAAACATTCATTCATACAGACCATACATACCCTAACCTAAAATCATTACCTTCATATATCCTAAATTAACTCCCCCTGTCTTCTACAATATCTTTTATCTTTTTTCCCATAGAAAAAATTCTCTTACCGTAATGACAAATGTAGTATTATTACTGTAATGTATATTTACCTCACTAAATCTTCTTCTGTTTCTCATACGGACTGGGGATATATAGTCTCGTTTCTCCCCGGGGTTAGCCGTCATATCCTCTGTAAGGTCATCATCATCACCAATCTGTATATGTATACGTGAATGAGGTTCTGGTATCACATCTGAAATTATATATCAATTAATTTACTCTCATTGCTTACTGATTCATGTCAACTGCCCATTTTCAACCATCAACCATCAAATGTTTCATTTCATTCTTTACTCGCTATGGAGTCAACAGCAGCTAAAGATGCCAAAGGAGAAGTTTGCAGTTTACCACGCTCTTTTCATGAGAAGATATTTTCTATTTTCAGCACTGGTTGCCCTAAAAGGTGCTCATTGAGGTTATAAGAGCAATTTACAGTACCAAGGCTACAACAGTACCATGTAACACAGCAAAATTTCATGTAAACATAAGCAACTTTCAGAAAAAAGACCATTACTTTCACTGGAAGACAATAATATATGACAAACTACAGAAATATAAACATTCCACCTTCCATACAATAGCTTCACTAGACCTTTTGATTCTATTAAAAGCTATAAAATTATGGTCAGCAAAAATCATGGCATTAGTTCAATCAGGTGAATGACTTAATGCCATTACAATCATAGAATTGCTGACTTAATGCCATTACAAGCATAGAATTGCTGACTTAATGCCATTACAATCATAGAATTGCTGACTTAATGCCATTACAATCATAGAATTGCTGACTTAATGCCATTACAAGCATAGAATTGCTGACTTAATGCCATTACAAGCATAGAATTGCTGACTTAATGCCATTACAAGCATAGAATTGCTGACTTAATGCCATTACAAGCATAGAATTGCTGACTTAATGCCATTACAAGCATAGAATTGCTGACTTAATGCCATTACAAGCATAGAATTGCTGACTTAATGCCATTACAAGCATAGAATTGCTGACTTAATGCCATTACAAGCATAGAATTGCTGACTTAATGCCATTACAATCATAGAATTGCTGACATCGTAGTTTATAAGTCAAGAATTGATTATTGTATTTCATGTTGACAATATGTAAAACTTTGCTTCAAACTTGACAGTCCTATGAGGGCTAAAAGATTAGTCTGGAGCTGCAATTCAGACATGAAACCATAAATCTGAACAACCCCCATGTATACATAAATCCCTCTCTCTCTTTTGTTGTCAATTTTATATCCCATGTAAATATTTTAATTCAGAAATAAAAGCACGGAACAGTAACAATTGCCTGTTTGAAAAAGCCATATTTCTAAAACATGAGATGCAAAACAGAAATATCTCATGAAGTAATCACATATGATAATCAACAAAATGTTAATTTAAATAATGCAATCACTTTAAATTCCTAAGATGTGATGGGATTAAAAAAGAATTAACTGATTCTTGGACCAAGATAATCATCCTCTTTATTCAGCATTAAAATATTAAGATAAACAAGATTTGTAAATTTATATTCTGTAAACAGATGACAATATGCTGCCTTACATAGAATATCTTAAATATGTCAAGTAAGTCAGTCCAGTACCTATGTATGAACACACCCGAGTCTGCTAAATAATCATTTTTTAAAACATACACTGTAACTAGTGATGTTCCGATTGTCGCCAGTCGCCGAAAATCACTTACTGTTATGTAAAGCGACAATAATCGATTCATAAAAATTTGTTCCGCGACGTCGTCGAAAATGTTTAAAGTTTCAAAGGGAATTATTCTGACGGTAATTTTCACCTCGCCGATCGCAAAAAATAATGTCAGAGACAATTTGGAGTTAAACAGAACCAATAAGTAATGTAAACAATAGTAATGAATTGTGATTTGAATGTTATTATTTGACATACATTGAAAAATAAAAGCTATTTCGTAAAATTATGGCTATACAAGGTTAAAACTGTGTTGAAAAGTGTTAAATGAAGTTCATGTTACTGAATATAATCAAGTGCCTTGGGAAGAAATGTTACTTCCCTATTTCTTTTTAAACGCGACTTTATTCGAAAAGTTATCGATTATGTCCCATCCGACTGAACCGATGATCGATTGGGACAAATTTCATCCGATTTCCATCACTAACTGTAACTAATTTGCCCATATTATTTTGGACCAGAATCCCTGCTCTGTAGGAAACCTGGGATATATTTTCCTAATTCATGTTAATTCTTCCTAATTCATCTGATACTGTATCATTTATTGCAAGCTGACACAATTCAACCTTGCAGTTACAGAAAGTAGATGTTGTCCTATGTAGTGACAAATATTTTAAACCTTGGGCTCTTGTTATAGAGTTTTTACTAAAACCTGATTTTTATCTGAGATATAAACATCATATGCAACACTGATCACTTTAGAAACAAGAAAGTTTTCAAATCACAAGTCATTCTATTTAACTTTTATCCCAGTACAAAGTAATCTTGTACATCATTTTTTCTCCAGAATTGTTTGCTCTACTTTTTTGTTCACCTTGAGAGAAATAAAGAAGCACAGGTGTATAATGGCTGTGCACTGGCAGGGTTTTTGACTCATTATTTATTTTTATTAATATCAGATTTAGCTGGCAGAAGATTATGTTACAAACATATGATGCAATGATAAACTGATATAGATCTGATAGTGGGTTTTAAAGGTACAGAGCCCTCTCCTACACTTACTTGTGTGTTCCTGTAAAGCTGTATTTTCATTTATTTCTTAGGGTTTTCTGTTTTCAGCCACAAAAAAGCTACTAGCTTGTTAGATTTAAGAAAGATTTGCTTTGATAAGTTCCTTCAGTAGTCATTTTGATGCAGTTTCTTCACATACTGTATGTGTATTTAAATTCGCGGAAGCAAATTTTCGCGGAAAGGTCCACTTTGGGGGTCTATACAAATATTCGCGCTATTTTGAATTCGCGGAGGTGACTGCCGAAAATCATAAATTCGCGTAGACCACTCGGGTTAAAAAAAGGAAAATAACTGTAATCATCGTGGGAGTTCACAGTTATTTTCAATACCAGGTGTCAAACAATACTCTATTGTACAGAAAAAAGACATTGTCTAACGGACAGATTATAGCAAACAAAAGGATGCCCGTTAACGTGCATAATTTTTCACAGTTTGCGTCATAAAGGTCTTAACATCTGATTAGATCATGTTATGGTTTTTCTGAACAAACAATTAAAAAACACAAACCTTAACGATTTTAAATGATGAATAACTTGAAAAACTAAACACAATTACTCAGTAAAGATTTAAATAAAAAGTGTGAAAGCATATCACACACTGATATACATTGTTCTATAGAAGCGCGAAAATATGACTATTAAAAGATTATTGGTGTAGAAATATTCGCGCTAAACATGAATTCGCGGATCGAATGTCACCGCGAAGATCGCGAAAATTTGAAGCCCGCGAATATTTCTACGCATACAGTATATTGAAATACTGTAGTCAAATGGCTACCATTGACTTCTAAAGTCAGTATACCATTATAATCAGATTTTATAGATGAGGCCAATATAGCCAGGCCAGTCAGAACAACCACTGTGACTTTCCAACATAACCTTTAATAATATCAGCGACTGGAATTCTCTGATAGCCTAATTAAACCTTGGTTACTGACCTTGTTTAACAGATGATTACTTTTAGGGTAATGATTCTGTCAAATGAAAGTTATGTTAAAGTTTTACATTTAACTGTTTTTTGAAAAAGTGTAGCAACTGTCATCTTGCTTTGAATTTTATTAACCTTTTCTTTTCATATATCTCCAACATTAAGTTTTGACAATTTCTGCAAATATTAATTTTCTTCTAAAAATAAATCTAAAGCCAAAATATTACAGCAAGTTCCTTTAATTTTTATTACCTTTGCCTCTAATGCAGGGACTAAATAGTGCAAATGAGTAATTTAATTCAGGCTTTTTCCCCTGAAAACAAAATAACGCACAGACTCCTTCCCCTCAACAAAGAAAACTGATGACTCATTCATTTAATAGATCTTTGTTCATGACTTTTTCCTGATAAATTTAAACCAGTCTGTCTGCTGAAACATGTATACCCTAATCACTTCCAGCCTTGTAATGTCTGAAAAAAATTGCTGTATTTTTTTCTTGAAACATTAGCCCAGTCCATGCTACTGTATGAATTAAATTACAAGATTTCTATCATTTATGTTAAATTTTTAAACCAATCTTACATTTGATAATACTAGCATCTTTATACATGTAACTTAATTATGTTATGCAAGTTATTCCTACAAAAAATAAGAATTTGTCAGGAGATTCTGTGACAATCTCACATTGGATGTTTGTCAATGATTCACTCGCAGAAACTGTCAACATCATTAGTGCATACTGGGAAATCATCAAAATCTCAATATTTCTTGTTTACTAACTGAATGTCATGGTAGAGAAATATTACCCAGACAAGCTATAAAACTGCCCAGAGAATAACATAAAACTGCTGACAGAATGGAGAAAAAAATACAGCACAAGAAGGCCAATGAGACAGGAGACATTTCTACAGTTATCAATAATCACCCACACACATTTCTTTAAATCAAGTTCACATAACCTGAAGTAATTTTCTGCTTATTTCCAATTAGATCTTATCACATCCTTGCCCAGGGAAAATTGTTGATTATATTTTATCAGAAATGACTTTCATGATATTTTTTGCCAAAACATATGATTTCCAGAAAGTTGCTCATACAGCTAAAATAGATATATTTTAGCTTGACTTTGCTTATTTAAACATTATCATTATTTTCATAAGTCTGTTTCTTGAACTAACTACACTTATAATTACAGAAAGCTGCAATAGGGTTCTGACCTTCAATAACTTGTTTGAGAGAGAAAAACCACAACTGAATCAGTACTGCTAAACTTATGTCATATACTAGTCCCGCTCCCACCCACTAATCAGTTTGTCAAAAGCCTATTATAGGTCATTACATAATAACTGAATTAAAGTACTAGTATTTGGATTCTTGAGCACTGCACTTTTTGTCAATGAGATATCATGTCATGTCAGAATATATGGGTGTACAAACTCAGGCATGGCTATTTACTAATGGTATAATTTGATGGTATCAATGGTAGTGCTATTCTGCTTCTAAATCATCAAATCCTGCTTATTCAGTTTTGGACAAGACAGAGACACTGACTATATTAAGACAGCTTGCTCGTCATTGAATAGTTAATTCTTTTCATAACCAAAAAATATCAATGCTTCAGAGCAGTAAAATTTCCACCCTTCTTTTTCATTTTCTAACCTATCTCACCTATTTCTTTTTACATATTGTCCATATCATTAACATTAGAGGAAGTTTTCCAGCACATGACCTGTCAATCATTATAAACAGGTAGTTTTCAACACTATGTGTGAACTATGTAGTTTTCTAATTACTTCTACCTTTATAACCAGCTGGAAGTGTGATCATAGATTTTACCACCTGTATAATGGCCAGGACAGCCTGCACATCCATGCAGTCCACTCATATTTTGTATTTTGATATATTGAAATCCCATAAACTTTAAAATAGTCTGTTCTTAATTCAAAGCACGGCAAATTCATAACAGTTTCTTGGCTAAAGGCTACTTATAAATGTTGTTTTTTTTTTTATCTGTTTAACCAAAAGCTGACCATTAACAAATCAAGTTTTACCTGCGCTGTTGCTGTCTTTAGTAATTCCGTTGCTGTCTTCAATTGTCATTTGCTCGGCAAGATCAGAGAGACTGTTGTCTAAGCCCCGATTTCCTTTGAACGTCAGTGACAGTCGACGTTTGAGCTTCTTCAAATTCATCATTTTTGTAAGGTGCTGTATGCCGTTCTGCCACCTCCGCGGCACGGGATCTACTACAACTGGGTATCCAGCACTCGCACCCTGAAATCAACAATCATTAACAATGTTTATAATTCAATTTGAATTTTATAAATTCTGAAATAAAACTTTTACTAGCAAGGTATATCTTGTACAGTTAGTTAATGTGGCATCTATTGTAATTCTTACTGATAGTTGTCATGTATGTCTGTGATAACTTTGTGTATTAGCTAAGGTATTTTCATCTTTATCCCTGTCTGATTTAGCAACTAAAGAAAATGCAATTGTATTATTCTACAAAATTAATGTACATATAAATAAGTAAGCATATGTTATTTCTTTCTTTGGATTTCATTCTTTGTTTTAACAGAATTTTGACTTTGACATCGCACCTATTTTTTCCACTTAATTTTATCAGTCTGGGTTTTATTACTTTCTTATTATTTATTCAGGGTAAAGTCTCAGTGACATACAGCTGAAGATTGTTCAAATTAATCCATCACAATGTAAGCCAAATGGTTCTTCTTCCAGCCATAAGTTTCCAGTCCCTGTTTGTTCAGGATCTTCTGTTAATACAGATTAATTTGTTACAATATTTCCACCAGCTTATTCTGGTAAACCAATTAAGTTATTAAAGTTGAAGACTCTGGTTAACAAGTATGTCTGTGTACGACAGGGTATTGTAAAGGAGCATGGGAAATAAGAAACCAAGCAATAACATTCAAGTCCAGATTTTTCCTTGCATGTTACTAAAGTTTACTTTTACCATGTTAAAAAAACTTAAACTTGTCCATTTTTCAATCTGGACAAAACCATTTAACATTTTTATTTTTTGGAAAACTTCAAATTTCAAATTCAAAGTACTACGGTAACTGTATACCGAACATAGATGTGCCGGCTGATCTAAATGTGTGCAAGGTTAGAATCTGTTGACAAGAGCAGGCTAACAGTTAATAATCATATCTTTGATTGAATTTTTTTTTTAGGTTTAACTGTAAATTGAGAACTACTTTATTACACATTGAATGTCAAAATATCATCCTTGACCCTAGTAAGACATTCTTTTCTATATTATTCCTGTATAACAAACATCTTTGTACAACTAAAATACAATTACAATTGAAATGTGGATATTTTCTTTGCATGTCGATTAATTGTATGTGTCTTTCTAGAAGAATTAAAAACATTTTGCTGAATATAAATAAGACCCTTTGAAACTGAAAAACAACAGCTTTTATGATAATATAGCATATTTATAACTTGTCTAAAATCTTTTCAACAGTCTAAAACTTCTGCATATTCCTGACTTTATTCCCTTTTTTCATCACTGGCATTATACATCCTGCACCTCAACAATAATAAAATTGTCTTTCTTTTAATAAACCAGGACAAAACATGCCTTTTAGTTTGTTGTATCTAATTTCATACAGTGTAAACATTAAATTTACACTGCAAACTGACCTGAATTGTTTGAAGTAATTATTTAGGTAACACCTTGTATGACTGGACATGTGAGTAATGATCTTTGCAACATACTGGTATAATATATGCAACATCAGCTAGAAAACTTCATGAGGATTTTATACAAAATTTTATATCATTACAACTTTTATTAATGACATTTCATGCATAAATGGCAGATTTCCAACAGTGTGGGGCTCATTCATACATCAATCCAATTAAGGTCATACAGCTACTTAACTTCAAGTATTATTTCAAGCATGAGTGGGCACCTAGCTGAGTAGAACAGTTCTCCTTCCATAACATGGCTGGATAACTGCCTCAAAGTCCCTGGCAGAATTTCAAATCCACAGTGGTGACAATGAGCCGCGTCATGACAAAACCAACATAATGGGTTTGCGACCAGCATGGATCCAGACCAGCCTGCGCCTGCGCGCAGTCTGATCAGGATCCATGCTGTTCGCTTACAAACCCTATAACAAGTAGAGAAACTGATAGCGAACAGCATGGATCCTGATCAGACTACGCGGAGGCCCAGGCTGGTCTGGATAAATGCTGGTCGCAAACCCACTATGTTGGTTTTGTCATGGCGTGGCTCAAATTATATTTCAGAGACTTTAGCCACTAAGCCAGAGCCATCAACTTCTATAACTTTGATGTGACCTATAAAGTTTCGTTCCATAAACAACAAACAATGCTTTATTCCCAATGTCATTTTGAAAAAAATACTAAACACATGGCCTTACTTTCAGGAAAACTTACTACCAGTCACTTTGACAATGACCTAACTGAAACCAGACCACTCAATCAAAAGACCATGGAAAGTACACACAAAAAAACCTCTTAGTTATAGTAAGTATGTCAGTAAGCAACGACCTTATTTAACAAGGCTTACACATTTGGTTTCACGATCTTCCATGTGGGCTTCAGCTGATATGAAAGTGCTATGAGAAGCATTAAAGTAAGTATGATGGATAAATAGCAGGATAGATTGACAGTATGTACTTCTCCATATTTTAAGCAAAAAAGGGATACATGTAATAAGCTCAAAATCCAAGACTAAAGCCTTACAGAATTAGAATTTTAGTTGATAAAAGCCCGGATTACAGACAGCATCAAATTAGTACGTCTGGCATTATGTCTAATAATACTCTAAATAAATTACATGTATACAGAATAGTCATTTAGTAAAAAAATCTCAAATTAACAGTTAAAAGCCAGGGCAAGTCCATTGCATAAAGTACTTGACATCGCAGAGAGAAAAATTTCAAATCCAACAAAATCTAGAAATTTTATTTGAATAAAACCTAGTAAATTCAACTCCCCAATGGAGACTATATAATATGTGCTGTGGCTACATGATAAACAAGAGCTGTCGGTAGGACAGCACGCTCGACTATTCTAATTGCTTGATAGTAAAAGAGCCTTGATAATGTTAAATTTTTTAAGTTCACAAAAGGGCTAATTTTTTTTTATAAATTCATGTTATAGGTCTTAGAGAGAGTCTAATTATACAGTATTGGCTTGACTATTTGGAAGGTAATGTCACAAGGGTGCTTTATTGAGTATAATGATACTAATTACCTATGAATACATAAAATTGACAGAAAAGGTACAAAGGCTTGTTATTAAGAAGTTTTATCAAGTAAATCACTGCTTTATTATTACGAATGCATAAAATTGTCCCAAAAAAGGCACAAACCCTTCAGTAGTTATGGAGATAACAGCTTACAAGCAAAACTTTACCATGAATTTTTTAAGTTGAAAAAAGGAAGAAAAATCAGCCTAAATGCAAGATAGAATTATGGATCTTTGTCAGTGACCTACAATTCTGACCCTAAATGCATATGTGAAGTTTTAAATAAATATCTTTAATAGTTATTGAGATATGTAAAACTTGCATGTAAACATTAACCAAGAGACTTAGTAGAAAAGGGGATATGAATCAGCCTTAATGCAAGATAGAGTTATGGAACTTGGTCAGTGACATACAATTATGACCCTCAAATTATAACCCTAAGTACATGTGTAAAGTTTCAAGTAAATATCTTTGAAGACCTTTAACCTTTAACCAAAATCTCTAAGTTTCAAAGGGGCAAATAATTCTGCAAATATTGCAGACAGAGATATGCAATTTAGCAAAATGATGTACATTGTTACTATAAAAAAGTATTGTAAATTTCAAATGAATATCTCAAGCAATAATTGAGATATTTGACTTTACAAAAAAACTTTAACAAAAATTTCTAAGTTTCAATGGGGCATAATTCTGTCAATATTGTACGCAGAGTTATCCAACTTGTCAATCTGATGTACCTTGTTACTATAAATAAGTATTGTAAGTTTCAATTGAATATCTCAAGCAATAATTGAGATATTTGTCTTTACAAAAACTTTAACCAAAATTTCTAAGTTAAAAAGGGGCATAATTCTGTCAATATTGTAGGCAGAGTTATCCAACTTGTCAATCTGATGTACCTTATTACTATTAATAAGTATTGTAAGTTTCAATTGAATATCTCAAACAATAATTGAGATATTTGTCTTTATAAAAAACTTTAACCAAAATTTCTAAGTTAAAAAGGGGCATAATTCTGGCAATATTGTAGATAGAGTTATCCAACTTGTCAATCTGATGTACCTTGTTACTATAAATAAGTATTGTAAGTTTCAATTGAATATCTCAAGCAATAATTGAGATATTTGACTTTACAAAAAACTGTAACCAACATAGACGCTGACGCGGACGCGGACGCTGACGTCGACGCCGGGGCGACTGCAATAGCTCTCATATTCTTCGAATAGTTGAGCTAAAAATGATATATTGTTATTGACCTTAATGTGTCTACCCAGACTGTGTCATCAATGTGGACATTGCAGGAAAATAGAGATAATACCTGGAACTTTCCATGAAATCCTCCGGGAGTAGTTAATACTGATAGAACAATTCATAATGAAAAAAATCACGTCTCTAGAGACAATGTTGTGAGACATTTAACCATTGTAAACATATTATTATGTATCTGTCATTTATTGGAAATAAACAAAACAACATTAAGCAATACTCAATATGTGATGTTTATCATATAATGTACTATATTTTGTTATAAATGTAAGTGTATAAGCTCCATTGTAATAAAAACTAATTAATCCTGTTGAAACTAAGTGATTGGTCTATGCCATCAAGTACAGAGCCACAACTGCCTGCACAACCAATTGGTAGCTCAATTGTTGTGTATCTCTTCAACTTTGAATGGACTGTTCCAAAGTCAAACCAGGGCAACTCCACTGCACAAATTCAGCTGAATAATCCTTAAAAAATTCTCTTCTCCCTAACTTACTAGTACTGGCTTCCTGTGACTCATGTAGGATATGTGAGTTCAGAGGCAGACAACATGACAATAATGACTAAAGGTATAAAGGGTTTACTAAGATTGAGCCCAAATTTGCTATATCTAGCAGTAGACCATACAAAGACTATTCTCTATAGATAGGCACCCATGATGTCTCCAATTTGAGAGTACATTGTGATAGACTCCTTGACCTTCAGACTAACTTTTATTCTACACACAATGCGATGGATATATATGTATAAATGTTTCTTTAAAATGTTAAACTTGAACTATCACTAAATGTGATTAATACCCCCGCTAGACTACTTCGGAAATGAGGAAGTGCCTAGTAACAGAATACCTTGTAAAAGAATTGAAATAGAGTTATGGTTGTGGGCAATTAAAGATTGTTGTGGTACTTGTATGTTGCATTTCCTTTTAATATAGTTGACCATTAAGTTTTATTAAATTACTCTGTAATAAGTCCTGAAAGAGTTACACTTCTTGAGCACTGCATTTCCTCTCATAGCGCTTGACTATTGTATGAAGTTGCATTGAATTCTAAACATTAGTTTTAAGTTATGCACCAGACAAGGAAAAGATACAACAGGCAATAACTCTACAAATACTGAAGATGGAGTTATGGTTATTGTACAATGTACTTCCTCTCATTGCGCTTGACCATTGTATGAAGTTATATTGAATTCCAACCATAAATTTTCAAGTTATGCACTGGACAATAAAAAGTTACAAAGGGAAAAAACTCTTAAATGAGTCAAGTAAGAGTTATGGTTTCTGTGCACTGCGCTTCCTCTCCATATACTTAATCATTGTATGAAATTGTATTGAATTCCAACTTGTAGTTTTCAAGTTATGCTCTGGACAAGAAAAAAGCAATGGAAAAGTAACAAAGGGCAATAACTCTATAATTACTCTCGACAGAGTAATGGTTCTTCACTGCACTTCCTCTTATTGTGCTTGACCATTGTATGAAGTTATTTTGAATTTCAACCAGTTCTTTTCAAGTGCTCCGGACAAGGAAAAGTATCAAAGGGCAATTACTCTGTAATATGTCAAAATGGTGTTATGGTTCTTGCGCACTGCACTTTTTCTCAATGTGCTTGATCATTGTATGAAGTTGTATTGAATTCCAACCGTTAGTCTTCAAGTTATGCTCCAGACAAGAAAAATTCAATGGACGGCTGGACCGACCGACTACCAAATGACTCCTTTTAGGGATATAAGTTGGTAGAATTGTTCAGACAATATTACGGAATTCAAATATTCCAAGTAATGTATGATGCATTACTGACAGTTGAACTGTTTTATAAAAATACTGACCGCATATGATTTGTGTTTAATTTTAGCTCATCCCTCTATGATATTTTGGCTATATTTGTGTGTCTGCTTGTAGCAGAGATAATGCATGTCAAATTTCACAGTGTTGTTTCACTATAGCCATATATATCACATCTCACATAGTAACCTAATATACTGATGCCAGATTTAAAACCAGTTGGCACCAAGCATCAGGAACTTGTAATAGTACTACATTTACAATGATGTGACAGTATATTGTCAGTTTCAGGTTGCTACGGTGATGGAAGATAAGCCATGTGATATGATAATACCAAACCCCTTCTTATTATGATCTAACATTAGAGGATCTCAAATGTCATATTAGATGATCTCAAATCAATACAACTGTGTTTAAAATCTATATCTATTAACACCTGTGCACACACAATATGGAAAAACATCATGTAACAAACACCCCACCCTTTTTACTCATGTTTTTTGGATCATATCAAATAATTAATATAATCAAAGCAGTGGTTGTTTATGAACCTCAGTATACAATGTTGACACTGACTTGTAACAGATTTTCAGCCCATCAAAGTTTAATGTTAGATAAATAATCCATATTATCCAGATGACCAAACAGAAAATGCTTAGAAAATATGTTAATGAAACAAATGTGCTCAAGATGGACACAAGTTTCTGACAGCTTCAGTTCTACATTGTAGAAAAAAACAAAAGACAATAAATTTGAAAATATCATGCTTTATAGATATTTAAAAAAAAAGTAATTTGCTGATTGTTTAGCAAAATGATACTTTATTTTAACTATTTCTTTTGTCATTAATCATTTGTTTTGGAGTGAATACATACATTTTCATCTGATCATTCACTGTGCTGTTCTAAGAAATATTACCATATTTCAAAGTATGCAGAATGGAAGAAAAAAGATACAGAGACAAATATACCTTGCTTTTGTCCGCCGTTGACTAAGTCAGATTATTCAAATAATTGTTATGAAGAGAGACTGAAAATAAGCAATTTTGTGCCATCCCTCGCTACAAAGAAAGGAATACATTTCGATTCTACCACCAAATTAGTTTATATAGAGTTTTTTTTAGTTTAAAAGTTAGATTGTGTAAGAAGCTATGAGTCTTGAATCTGTTCCTGGAGTCAACAAGTACTGAGCAATGAGTGTAATTACTTGCTCAAGGAAACAACGGCTTGCCACTTATAGGGTTTGAACTTGCTAGGCTTGAGACCACCTATTTGGAGTTTTAGTACACAGCATAATTATAGAACGAAGTAAGACATTTTACTGTCAACATCTTTATATGTCAGTGAAAAAAAAAGAATGCTTATTTCTACTTGTTACATAAAATGAAGAAATCTGATCTTAAATCGTTTACCTGTGTTTTCTCCCCAGACAAGGGTTTGTCTACATCCACCATGGTAAGAAATGAAATTCTTAAGTTCCCTAGTCTCTTTAAATCTGTTTAGTCCAGTGAAAAACTTTAAAACCACTTGTTTTGGAAGTTTGTTTTAAACTATAGAATATTGTATATTATACGGCACTCTGTAGCCTATTCACATGTTCAACAATAATGCCACTGGAGTATATCCATTATATCAGCACATATAATCGCAACATTTTCCAACTTTATGAATCAATTGATCTGTAATATTCAATAATAATCACAACACTTGAACATCTATTAACCAAACATCTCTTTTCATAGTACAGTATCTCTGTTCAATTAATTTTCAAGATCAAGGCGTGTATATATTCCACATAACACCTACTACATGAATCCTCTCTGCTTAATCAATAATTACACAAACAAACTATAAAATCATAATTTATAGCCAAGAGAAGTTGAGATCTATAGATTTTGTGAAAATATATGATTCTCAAACTTGATTCCTACGTAAAAAAATTCAATAATCTATAATGATTAAATACTTCTTTTTTTTCTCAAACAAACAGTATCGTTAAATTAAACACAACTGGAATTTATTGATTCCACACTATTAAGTGTATAATAAAACATCCCCATTAAACAATGCAATAATACACCTATGCACTTGTTTAGAAACTTACAAATTGGTTATTATTCTGCCATTCATTTCATGTTATATAAATTCTTCATACTTTTTCTGATCCACTCATAAGAGGGCTTTTTTTATCTGAATCCTACAATGTTTCAAACATGTTTACTCTTATGTACCATGATTTTATGACCAACCTGTACCTAAATAAAAAAAAATAATCAAGTGCTCTAGAAATAAAAATAGAGCAAGATATAGCAAGTTACTTAGCTGCCTGCCAGAATGATATAGCCTTAATCTACTTTGCTTGTGCCAAATTTCAAACCAGACCTGATTGTAATAAAAAAGAGATACATTTAGAATATTGACTGGTTACTGCAGAATCACTATACTGGGCACATAGAAAATGCAATTAAGGTAAATTTGGAACCAATTCATTACAAACAAATTAAGCCAAACCATTCTAGATAGGAGAGACTTTCCTACTGGTACAAAGTAGAACACACAATATTATTTCCTTATATAGAGCATTGTTTATAACCCAAGTTTGTTTCTCCTGGTTTTATGTTACAGTTAGGAAAGGAAACATTGACAATTTTATGATGTGAAGCAGTATGATGACAATACATTTCCATTTATAACAATTAACCATTTTTATGGAGACCCGTTAGAAAAATATAAAAAAATCAAGGGAAGTTTTTTTAAGGAGAAATTGCAGTTTTTAGGTTTGTCATTTGGGTTTGAAAGTTGGTTTTAAACAAATATTAAAACCAGAAAACAAGGTTCCAAGTATTTGAAATTTTTACAAAGGGTTTTTAAACAAGTAACAGGTAACTTTATAATGATGAAAATAACTCTTTTGACACAGGCATGGAGGTTGAAATTATAAAGGGCAGAAAAACTGATATCAACAATCAAATTATTGTAGTTGGACACAAAGGACTCGCACTCTCCATTGTACGGTATATACCAAACATGCTTACAGTGACAAGAGTAAACTTCAGATCATGTTGGATACAGCCAAGCAGGTGGAAGATACATATAATGGCAGATAAAGCATATACATGTACCACATAAAATGGTTGAAGTACAAATTTTTGTTTGTTTGTTTACTTGGGTTTTACGTCACACAAACACATTATAGGTGATATGGCGACGTTCCAGATTTACTGGTGGAGGAAGACCTCGAGTGCCCTTCCATGCATTATTTCACGGAAGAAACGGGAACCATAGTAGAACCACTGACGTTCCATAATTGAAGTACAAAGCTAGACTGTATAATGATAATGAAATGGAGATAAATGAGACTGTATAATGATGATGAAAAATAGACAGGAAAAATGAAAAAGCAAAATGGAGATGACAAGAGGACAAGAGAATATATGATAATAGAATATGGAGGCTGCAGCAATAGATAACAATATGTACATAAAATATGGTTGATATAGAAAACTTCAAAGATAGAAGATTGACAAAAAAACCAGCTAGGACAATGAACAGTCTTGTAGAAGTATTGTAACAGATGGTGCATCAAATGATGAAAACATTTAATGGCTAAAGTCAGGTGCAGAAGATACAATGTAGACAAAATATCAAAATATGTATAAGCTAATTAAGCCAGGTACAGAAGATTGACAAAAGATGAAAATATACAAAATGGCTCATGCCAGGTACAGACGATGAACAAAACACTGTTTACAATTGCTTGCAACTTTCCCATTTTACCCTCCTTATATTGCTATACTCTTAACACCACCTACAGGTTAAGTAGTTGGTTTGAACCCTACAGGTCATGAACATGTTTCCTCAAACAAGAACAAACAGAACTGTTTAGTGCCAGAAAGACAACTTGAAAAGAGTTCATTTAATAAAGAATGTACATTAGGTTTTTTTTTTCATATTTGACAAGCTTATATATTACATCATGTTTCAACTAGAAGGTAGATAGACCTGTATCCACTTATTAATTGCCAAGAGGCAATCTTAACAAAAGATCATCTAAACTTTCTAGGAGGAGGGGGCACTTAATGTATTCCTTTATCATAAATCATATGAAACTAAAAACCAATGTTAAGTTATACTAGTGGAAAAACTACAGATGTTTAAAAGAACTCAGTACAATAGAACAAAACTTGTCTGTATTTTGAATTTTTAAACTAGAGAATGTATTACCATACCACATTACAATTATAACACAGACAAACGTCAAGTCCGATTTGACATGACAACAATAGATATTGCCTGTTCTTGGCTGCAACTAACAGATAATAAACATATATAACCCCTTAACTCTAAACTTGCCTAATTTGTTAAATAGACTTAGCCAGTTATCATTTTTGGAACTGTTCATTATCAATCTTGGGGATATCAAAATGAAAATTCGAAAGTTGATTGAGCTTTGTCAGACTCCACTGCTGTGCAGACTAGCTTATCTGACAAAGGCTCATCATTTTCACTTTCAGCAGAGAAAGGGCTTTAAACTAAGAAATGAGAACTTTTACAATTTTCACAAAATATAAGAAATCTAAAATCTTTGAATTTGCGACTTAATTAAAGGTAGTCTTACTGTAATGCTTTCCCACCAAAAAATTCTAACATCGGCCAATATCGTAGCAAATCGGTTATTTCTGGAACGTTATTTTTTTCACAATCTTGCGCATTAGATTATTTACAATCACTCTTACTTTATAGCTTTGTACTAAATTCCGGTCATAAATGGTTAGAAACTAGTGAAAAGCAAAGATTGTGAAAAATAACGATCTGGAAATGACCGATTTTTTTAAAATATTGACCGATATAAGAATTCTTTTGGCGAAAAAAGCATTAGACTGCCCTTAAAAACCCATAGATTCAAAACAAAATGCTATTCTGTACATGTGAACAGAAGCCAAAGGCTTAATGAAAAATAATATAAATTATTTTACTCCAACACAGCATCCATCCATATGAATTATCAACAGACCCTAATTTTTCACTCACATAACTAAACACTTTTATATCAATTATCTACCACATCCAATAATTATAGTATCCAATATGCACAAAAGAAAGCACTAATAATTTTTTAAAAAGTTACTTTTTTCAGAAAATTTTAACTCTAATAATGTAGTGTGCATCATACAGCCATATTTGTTGAAATTACTCATTCCCACAAAAACATATGGTTTCTTCAAACATAATATCCTGAAGAGCACATTGGTGTAATTTCCATGAAGATTTTTCATTCATGCCTAGTACAAACTAGGCCATTCATAATCAACTCTGCTACAAAATCATTTCAACTGATAAGCCAAACTCTACTGATAAACACCAAGAAAGATGATCAACACTCTATGGCAACTTTAATCAACAAATCAACCATTTTTTTTTCTTTTTATTTGTTTTGTGAGGAAAGTACAGTTTTAAATTTCTCCATTTTCTTTTTGGATAAAAAACAAGAGCAAAACCCAAATCTTATTTTCATCAAGTGTTCCTTTTCCCATTCAAAAATTAAGAATTAATTTAATTATTTATAAAAAATTTTAAAATTTATATTAAAAAGCCCTTAAATTTAAAAAATGGCCCTCAAAAAAGATGTTTATTTGTTGTTTTCTTCTGCAACACAAAATAAAAAAATTCCATTTTTTTTAAGAAAACATGCTGTTTAAAAATCTGTTAAAAAACATTCAAGATTTTTTTTTGCCTTGAAGAAGCATACATCAGAAGAGAGAAAAAAAAACTTTTAAAACAGGTCAAAGAAGATAAGGACAGTGTGTAGATACCTGATTACAAGATGCCATTTCCTTATGATATATAGATACAGCCCTGTCTACCATTACATCATTTCATGAAGTCTATAATCTAAATGCAGGAAGAGAACGGGATGATTATTGTCTTATATAGGTGTAATGATGAAGGAAAACAAGTAAATGATTTAATCCAAAATGTTATGATGGATGATGATGTATACAGTATTGGTGAATGTGATAAATAAGACAGTTATAATGAAGATGAAAGAGATGTTGATGGTGTTGATGATAATGTTGATGGTGTTAAAAATAATGATGATGATAATAAATGATGGAGCTGATGATGGTGTTGATGATAGTGATAATGCTGATGATGGTGGTAATGATGGGGTATTGATAATGATGATAATGATGATAATAATGCTTTGATGATAATGATGATGGTGTTGATGTGATGCTGATGGTGTGGATAATAATGATGATAGTGTTAATGATAGTGATCATTATGTTGATGATGATGATGATTGTGATGATGATGTTGTTGATGGTAATAATTAGGGTGTTAGTGATAATAATGTTGTTGCTGATCATGAAGATAATGTGGATGAAAATGATGATAGTGTTGTTTTACAATTATGAATTTTTGGTTTGGGTGATAATGATGGGTGGTTTTTTATGATTATAAAGATGGTGATGCTAATAATGATGGTTGGTTGATTTAAAGATGATTATTATTTAGTGTTTGATACATTTTAAAGAATTTCTGTCAATTAAAAATGATTTAAAACACTTCATTTAAACCCAAAAAATACTTAAATATTTTTCAAAAATTTTCAAAGGGAAACATGTATTTATTAAAAGCTGTTTCAAACAAAATCAAAACATTTTCAGGGGAATCATAATGATTCTAATATCATTAAGCAGGAGTGAAAATTATAGAAGTATTTCCGGATTGTAATAAATCTTCTTATTTTAAGAATTGTTTGTACTTAATGACCATAAAACAATTAAGTAAGTTTTCAAATTTTGTCAACCATTT